ATATTTTCCTTTCCTTTGTTTTTACACTTGATTCTAGTTACTTATGAATAAAAAGATCAAAGAAACCCTATTCAAATAGTTTAGAAAAGGGGCAATAACATTCTTATGTCCACAGGAAAAGATCTACCATTAACAGTTATAATGATGGTTCATTTCAAAGTAACTACATATCAAAAAATGATAATACACTGAAAACAATTTTATTTTATTTATTTATTTAGTTTTTTGAGGCAGGGTCTCCCTATGTATGCATGTGTGTAGGGAGCCCTGAGCTCTACTGTGTAGGCCCAGCTGGCCTCAAATGTATGGCAATCTTCCTGCCTCAGCCTCCCCAGTGCTGAGACCACAGGCATGTGCTTCCATACCCAAGCTATACTTACTTCCTCTCTATCTGAAACTGCAGTTGGTATGGTATATTTGTGAAGACAAATCATACTTCCCTAGAAGTATACTTCCCTAGAAGAGAAGTGTATTTGTTTCTAGACCCAATTCTACTGTTAATTAGCTATAGGACTCTGTCTCTGAATCTGAAGATTTTAATCTATAAAAGAAGACTTAAGTATCATTTGGAACTGTATGCCTTCAGGTTATTGTTCAATATAGGAATTTAAAATTCAAGTCCTTTATTTAAAAAAAGTTTATATAGTCCATGATCATTTCAGATATTATGTTCAGCAAATGGAACTTAGTTTTCCCTTAAGAATTAACGAAATGGTAATGTGGTGGTAGTCGGAGGGACAGGGAGAAGGAGAACAGTAGGAAGTGTGTGTGTGTGTGTGTGTGTGTGTGTGTGAATGTGTGTCTTGGAGGAAACTAGGCAGAGAAACTGTTAGAATCTTGTAAATATACTCTTGGTTATATTTACTAAAAATACTCTTATACCACATTTTAGATAGACAATAGCAAGCTAACTTACTACTTCATATATCCTGCTAACAACTTTAAGTTTTTTAAATGTTTAAAAAAAACCTCATGCCCCAAATTCACAAATGACTTTCAAACATGACTATTTCAGCTAGGTGTGGTGGCACATGCCTGTAATCCCAGCATTTGGGAGGCTGAGTTTGAAGCCAGCCAGACTGGGCTACCCAGTGAGACCCTGTCTCAAAAAAACCAAAATTAATAATCCACCTTCTTAAAATTTAAACTATCAATTAGTGGAATACGGTAATTTTTTTAAAAAAAAATTCTATAGTTCTTAATAATGTACTATTGTTCTTTATACAATTTTTTTAAATGGCTTTACTTTTTTTTACCCAATTTTTAAAAATATATAAAGTCCAAACTGTTGCTAATCAAATCTCCTTTTCTTCTCCTATCTTTCCACTTCAATTCTGTATTAGGGACACTTACCAAATACAGTACATATCCCCATTCTGGAGCTGGGAAATAAGAAAGGATTCACAGAGCTGCAAAGCTAATATAGTCTTGCCTTCTTTTTCAGTGTTACAGATGATATCAATTCCACTCTTACAATCAGTTTTCAATAAATGCTGTAAGAGGAATGGAAAAATTAATTCACATCATTCAAAAATGTCTAAAAAGCTAGTTATAACAAATGTTTAAAGTAAACATTCAGAAGAAACTACACGGATTTCTAGTTTTCTTCTAAAGATATGATGAATTATGCAGAATATTTCTATGGTTTCTTAGTTTCATTGTATAGCATCTACATTTTATACTAAGTACTTGTATTTTCATTAATGGCACAGCCTTAAATATAGTGTCTATAGTAGGAAAGGATTCATTCTTTCATGTTGGGGAAAAAACATGTACATGAGTATTTAACTTCTTTCCTTATTTATTTATCTAGAGATAAGGTCTTGGTACGAAAGCTCAAACTGGCCTTTAACTGACAGTGTAGCACAGGCTGGCCTCAAACTCATGACTCCTGCCTCAGCCTCCTGAGTGCTAGAATTACAGGCATGCTATCACCATGACTGGCTCAGTACTTTAAGAGGCAAAATGATAATGCTTCCCAGAGTTTATCTGACCTCTTCTATCACAACAAAAATTTGAATAATGCTTCTTAATGAGTATATCTTACTCATTTCACCCCTTATTAGTATCAGATTCTAACAAAATGAACTTAAAGAACAGTGTCAAAAGAGAACACATCTATATAATATGATTTTTTAAATAACTGGTATTACTGTTAAAAGGAAATCTATAATAACAAGTTATTCCCCCTTTTTTGGAAATGTTAAAAAGGTAATAGGCAAAGCAGTAGTTCTCAATACCTGTCGAAACAGTTGATCTTCTACAGGTAACATAAACAGACATGTGAAAAGTGCTTGATGGAAGTACAAGTCTTTACTGATTTCTGGGTGATTTATACAGGATTTAATAAGAGCCATTGCTTCAGGTATGCGTTCACAAGCAATTAGGTATCTGGCACGTAGCTCAAAGAACAGTGGATTTTCAGAACTTAAGTATTTGTTCACTATATTAAAAAGAAAACACATTCTATTACTTTCAAGAAAAGATTCAAACTTTATTGTTTGAAACACTAACATGATATCAGATTAGTGAGTTACTTAATTAGGTACTTTTCTTGGTAGAGCTTCGTAAAAACAATATTCAGTTTTATGGTTGGGAAAATAAAAATAAGAGTGATACCAAAACAGTGCTCAAGAAATATCAGTTGATTTTTCAGTCTAAAAAGAAAAAAAGAGGGAGAAGTGAAATTTTCTTCTTCAGTAATATGTTAACTGTATTTTAACTAGTAAGTTCTAAGGTGATTTTCTAGCCTAACATTACAATTTGTTATCTTATGTTCCAGTATTTTCAGGACTGTAAGATTAAAAACCTGAATCCTAAATGATCACATTAAAGTCGGATTATAATCACATTCAGATTATGGACAAAGTATTTTAAAAAATGAAAAACTTGAGTCATAATATAATACTTTTAAAAGTAACATAACCAAAAATAGTGCCAAATAACACTGTTTATTAATATATTCATGTATCACTAAGGCTAATTTAACTTACACTTACTTTCACACTTTTGAAACATAAAGACCTTTAACTATGTAAGTTAATTTAGACCTAACAACAACCTTATGACCGGTGTATAGTATTTGTCTCACAGATCACAAAACTGAATGTCAGAGAGGTCAAATAACTTGCCCAAGGACAAAGAATGTGTAAGTGGCAGAACCAGAACTGGAATCTCTATTTTGTGATTTTTAAATCTTAAAAGCATTTTAATTATCTATGTTTAGTCAGCAGCTACTGCAGTACTTATGAGAAATGTTTTGTCTTAAACATCTGCCTTGCAATTCTGTTTATAATATATAATAACCAAGCACTGATAAGTAGTTATGCAAAGAATCTTCCATATTAATGAAGAGTCTAAAGCCGCTTTTCCCAAAGTGAAGTACGCTGGGTAGTTATGAAAGGAATTTTCATTACTTTAATGATTTTTGGCCTAAAGTACCAGACTAACCAGCAACAGTTATCTTCTAGCTCCCACTCAGAGACACCTTAAAACTTTAAAAAAAGCCCAAACTTTCTTCCCCTTCAACTCTTTTTGAAGCTCTGAGCTCTGACCCTATGTTCTATTCCTTCTGGCACATTCCTGTCTATGATTCTTGCCTTTGCTGTATTTGGTTTCTCCTCCTTTTCCTCCATAATCTGTTTTCCCTTAGCTCTGTCTCCCTCTTTTTTCTTTTAATTCCTTTCCAAGGCCTACACATCAAGCACCAGTCTTCTTTGCATTCTCTGGGTTTGCCATACCTGTCACATACACCTTGGTCTTTTTCAGTCTCATCCCCTCTGCATCCTATCCCACCACTCTGCACTGGTCCTCCTAATCTTCTGTCTTTATCTTCTCTTTATCATAGCTCCACACTTGTTGGGAGGTTTGTTCTTAAGCCTGAGAATCATAGCTTCTTCTCTACTTAGCTCTACTTGCAACCCACCCTACTTATTAACCTGTAACAAATGGAAATATTCTAGCACAATCTAGGGTATAAAGAATTTTTCTTACCAAAGTCTGCCTGGTTATATGATTGTAGAATCTTATATTTTCTCTTTAGATTTCTTTCAACTGCATCTCAGTGGGCTCTCCATGCTTTCAAATGTTATCCACATTTTTATTCTTACTACTGGCTGAACTTACATTCTAAGTTTTTGTTATTAAAAATATTCTGGAGTTCAGAATGTTTTAATATGGGAAACATGCTTTTAAAGAGATTACGAGAAGCAGCTAATACAGCTTCCTGCCTCAAAAATTTTGTCCCACAAGGATCTATAGCTGATAGGAGGTGATATAAAAGGATGTAAATAATAAGGGATCAGACAAAACTTCCATTAGATGAAGTTTGGGACACTATAATACTTGGAACTAAAATGTATTCAGTCACTCATGCATGCATCATATTGTCAGTCATTCAATCAATGAATACTTATATTAAATAGCTACTTTGCACTACGCAATGGAATAACTGCAGAACAGGTAAGCTTTCACTCATGGTTCCACCCCTCACAGGAGTTTCTATGTAAGGGAGATATCTATATGCTTTCATAAAGAGCACAGGCTTTTTGCTTTGTTTTGGTTTTGGATTTTTTGCTTGTCAAATAAGGATGTTCCTACTTATAACTGAAGTTAATAAAAATTCTCTGTAAATAAGTGGCATCAAGTACAGATGTTAACACACTCAATTCCCATACTAGAATTAAATGTATCTAATTTGATGTAAAAAAAAAAAATCACTTTGGGCCCAGTTAGAAAAACAAACATTTTTCACTTGAAAATACATTTCATTATTCAATATTGTAAAATAAAAAGTAACTATTACTGCTCTAGAAATTCTTTTTACTTCTCACAAATGCTGGTTTGGATTTTGAATCTCCTGAAGTACCTATCTCCTGAGATGCTGGCTGGGCTTTAAGAACAGCTTGCAACACTGGATCTTCCCATGGGCCACCATCTCTAATGATTCGAGTCACCAGTTCCAGATTCACATTTCCATATCTGCGGAGGTGATTCTGGCATTCCTAGGAGAGAAAAATCATTTTGGCTTTGTGAATTTAAAGGGGTTAAAAGCTAAACTTGATCATCATTGTCAATAAAATGACTGATGGCCAAATGAGATAGCTATGTAAAAGAGAAAAGGATACTACTGTAACCTAAGCAGGGTGACAAAACCCCATTAATATACAAATAGGCTTTAAAGCCAAAGGTTACACAGTGCATATATAATTGGATTTAGACAATCCCATTTAAAAAGGGATGAAGTGTAACCTAAAAGAAAAACTTAAGAATACATACTTTCTAGGAAAAGAACCAGGTTGCAAAAAACTGAAAATTAAATGTTCAGTTAAATTTACCTGAGGGCTCATAAAATTCCTGTTCACAATGGTAGGCAAGAGCCTAACTACAAGAAAGGGAAGAAGGCAGGCCTTCCTCATGCACACTCTAGCCAGTAGGTTGACATGAGTCCCTTGCTCTACCCTGAATTTATGCCAAATACATAATCTAAGATGCAGTAGACGGCTGGAAGGTGGAAAATTCTACTCACCCTTTTTGAGAATGGTTTAGGGAGGAAGAAATGACATGCTGAAGAGATAAATCTAACCTATAATATGAATGGTTTGTATTAAATGGTTTAAAGTTTGTATTAAATGGTTTAAAGTTAAAGACAGACTGTTGAACTGAGTAAAAACTGAAATTTGTCTGCATTTTGGGGGTTTTATAAAGGATATGCAAAGTGTTTTTAAGGAATCTGTTGTTTTCATTATCATAAAGTTTTAGCAAGTTTAACATTTAGAAGAACTCAGTTTGCTAAGTTTACGTCTAATAAATTTGACTTATTAGATTTATAAAATTTACCTAGTTGTTTGATAGTTGTTTTAGATCTAAAATGTGCCCCCAAAAGTCTCGTGTTCAGAGGTGAGGCTTTTACAAAGTGATTTCATAGTGGGGGTGTTACATCCATGCGTGGCCTAGTCCAATGGTAAGTTTATAAATGACTGCTGTTCAGAGGTGGGGGTCTTGGGGGGCATAACCCACAAGGGTGATTTCTTGTTCTAGCTCTTCCTCTTGCTGCTGAAGCTGCCATGAAGTGAACATCATTACTCTGCTTTGCCTTTCCACCACACTGTTCTGGCATGGACTCAATTCACTGAAAACGGTAAGCCAAAAACCCTCTTCTTTAAAGTTGCAGGTATCCGGTATTTTGATTATGCCTTTGATTCATTATGTATTTTGTTAAGTATTATTTTTAAAACTGTTTTGGGAAACTCAACTTGACAGTATTAAAAAGATTAACTGAAGGCCTAAGGAAACTATTATTTTAAAAACTACCAACTTGAGCTTGAAACCTAAAGAAAAAACTAGATATTGAAACAAAATTAAAATTTAAAATAACTGTATATCAATTAAAACCAAAAAAAATCAGAGTATTTTCCTGTGCTCAAAGAAAACTTTAAATATTAAAAGTTTACATCAGTATTAATGCAAACCCTCAGGATAGAAAATAAATACATCTTCAAAAATTTTACTTATCAAATAAATCACCACACTATATATTCAAAGGCTATAAATTCCTTAGTTAAGATTGTCATATTCTTCCATAATTTTAATATTAGACTATAAAGTGATTTCTATGTGCCACTTGACTTCCTGGTTAAAATACACACACACACAAAAAGGACATTTTACTTATTAGAGGCCAATATAGAAGAAGTTGAATTTTAAGAAAAGAATCACCAATCAAGTAAGTGAAAGATTCATTAAGTTCAAACATGAAAATAAGTTATCTCCTAATAGTTATTTAAAGATGTCTCCAGATTAAAGCAAGCATGCAAACAAACAAAACACCTATAAATAATGGGCAAGTTACGTAACCTCTCTGTGCTCCGTCTGGTCAATTTCTCTGCAAAATGGTTAATAAAAAGCAGCCATTCATAGGATTGTTGTGAGGATTAGATAATACACAGCACTAAGAAGTGCTGGGGACAGTACCTGACACATAGTAAGCACTTAACAAATATTAGCTTTTATTTCTTTTAGTATTTAACACTGAATATTTTACTTTAGGACACCTAATCATTTTAAGTATAATAAAAAGATTTCTATATTTCCATATATCAATTATTATATTCATGAAAACATAAAGTAGGTATAAAGTTTCTGATCAGCCAGGCTTTTTTTAGCACATGTGAAACATAGTGATGATCTGCGGCAACACCTTCATGGTTAAAATCAATCTTACCAGTTTTAAACCTGACATGGAAAACAAACTCTCATTATTTTACATATATACAAGTATATTACTGCCTCTAAAGTTGAACTACTGTAAGCTGGTTTGGGCCCAATCCAAGGATAGGAAATAAGGTAAGATGGACACAAGCAAGAATCACTGGTAAACGTACTCCTGCTGCTAAATCCTTGGACAGTCCATCTTTCTTTCTGGCTGTCTGATAGTAGCTGAGGCACCAATCGTAAACCATTAATACCGAGGGTTTTGGAGCTGTATGAAAGCCTATGTCAAGGTGTGCTGCCAGTTTACTAAATCTGGATGAAAATAAACGAACAGTTGGAGGTTTTGTTAAACTGATAGAACTCAATTTTACACCACTGAATCAATTTCAAGAGGAAAGTCCTTAAGATCTATATATAACCACTTATCCATCAATTATTTAAATATAAGATGACCAAAATTTGCAAATTTTCATTAATTTTATATGATAACAAACTATAAAAACAACAGTTTTATTCAGCTTATGCAATACAAGAATCTACTGGCTGAAATGACACCTGCCTAAGCAACATGGGATTGTCAATCTGTAAACAAACAAGTCGGGGTAGATACTAGGTGGTTAACAATTCCCACCCACCGTTAACTTTTGGATAGTTCTGCTGCTGTTTTTAAGAGACAGGGCCATGTCATGTCACCTAGGCTGCCCCTGGACTGCTGGGCCCAAGTCATCCTCCTGCCTCACCCTTCCTCCCCAGCAGTTACAACTACAAGTATGAACCACTGTGTCTGGTAGGTTACTTTTCTAACTATATCGCCTACATTTTGACTGTGTACTCCACAGGTGTTATTAAACACTGTACTTTTACTCCTGTCAGTGCTATTAAAATTAGTAAATTATGTTCATTTTTGTAAGGTAAAAATTAATTATAATTAAGAGCCTTGTTTTTATGTATTTCTTGGGTCAATACATATTTTGGCAACCACTCCTATAGCAGATAGCTCTGAATAGGAAAGATAAATGAAATATAGACTTTATTGTGATCTATTTTACAAAGATCCAGGAGGAAGAGAACAAATTTGAAACCTTTTTATACCTTCCTTAAGTAATAGGACTTTTCTGCATAATATTCAATTTAGTATCTTCAGAGTGAATACTGAAGCACTTAAATTCACTCTAGAATTTACAAGTTATTCATTCCTAGAGAATAACTGTGTATTTTTTAAATGTTTACTTAAAGACATCTGACATGTATAGTGACCTAAGCCATCTATCTACTACATTATTGTTCCCCACTGTGCTGTGCCAAATATGATCCTTTGGGACACTTCCACTCAACCTTGTGCCTATCAATCATACAGAAAAAGCATAACTCTTTGCCTTACTCTTCTTTGAGAAACCACTATTGAATGGGCTTAATCTTTTGCCCCCATAAGGAAGATTTTTCTTCCTCAAAACAGATGCTATTTTTTAAAGAAAGTAACAAATGCTTGTAAAGCTATAGAAGACTGTTTGGGCACTTCAACACGTTGGTCTACACCCTTTACCCAGTTTACCAGTTACTCTTTAATGCCTCAATCTCATGCTTAGCTCATTCACCTGTTATTATACACCACGTCTTTCCTCTAGCGTAGCCTCTGGCACAGCCCCCATATTCATCTCGTAAATTATATTTCTTGCCTATGTGGTTTTTTTTTGTGTGTGTGTGTGTGTGTGTGTGTGTGACTCTTTCTCCTACAACCCTCATAAAGTTATCTAAATCCCATCTTTACATCTTTTCACTTTTCTTGAGAAGCCTCCACTAGTTATTTCTACCCTTAATAATAAACTTAATTGCACTTCTACAGTATTAAAAATCTGGAATTCTTCTGGTGTATTTCATAAAACGAGAAGGGCCTTGTGTTATTATCTTAAATTGTGTTATCTTACTTTCTTGTATAGTTAAAAGCTTTTCCAAATAGACCCAAAAAAGGAAAGGTACACTTAAAGGAGGATACATTTAGATTAAGATAGTTTTATGAAAATCTGCATAGTAAGTGGAAATACTGAAGAACATGTCTTATTTTGAATGAAATATTCTAGAATAAAATTATAAAATAGCACATATCAAATTCTTTTATAAATATACTGCAGCAAATCAAAGCAAAACTGTAAAATGTCCTCCATATGGTTAATTTTGTGAAAGCATAACCTTTACAATACAGTAATTTTTTTTAAAATAAAAATTCGAAGTTTGTCTATATAAAATAGAATAAACCAGGTATAGTGGAACATCCCTGCCTATAATCTCAGCACTCTAGGAAAGCAATATGGGAGCAATATGAGTTCGAGTCCATCCTGGGCAACTCAGAGACTTAGTGAGACCTTGTCTCAAAAGAAAAAATAAAAAGGAATGGAATTTGGCTTGATACAATGGTCCTGGATTCTATCCCAAGTACCACACACATTTTTTTGAAAAAGAAAAGGAACAGTTGTAATAATGAAAACATCAACCATTTTTCACAAGAAAGTTTTTAAGAAGAAAATAATTTAAAATGAAAATATGTGTGGGAAGCCCTGTAATTGGCTGCCACCTTATATCTGCAGGCCGTACCACCTTAACATCTGTGGGCCATACCACTTTAACATTTGTGGGCTGTACCCCTTTAAATTATGTTAATCAGCCCGCCTTATGAGCCTGCGCCTGGGAAATTTGAACTGACCTATAACCATCAGTCCTGCCACTGTTCCTAGGTTACCTGCTGACGTCTCAGAACCCAAATCCCTCCTCCTCAATACCCTACATATGTGTTATTCCTTCTGTGAATAAACAAGACTTGATTGGAATTTTTCATCTTGTCTCCACTCTTTGTGTCTCTTGTTCCTTTTCATCCCCAATCCCCTTTAGGGTCTCCATGGTCTTACCCGCAAGCTGGGACAAATATGATCTTTGTTACTAAAACATATTGTGTCACCTGCATTACTACCTTAAAACAGAATTTTCTGTTTAAAAGTCTTTACCAAGAACATTTCAATGCATTTTTTAATATTTGTTTAAAATATCTGTATTAAGTTGGAGATGTAGCTCAATTAAGTTGGAGATGTGCTTGCTTAGCATGGAAGAAGGGGAGAAGGAAGAGGAGGAGGAGAAGAGTTAGAATTCAAGAAAATTTGATTGACTTCAGAAATTTAGTAAAATTTCAACAAAACTCTTTGCATAACTGGTAAAATATTTTTAAAAGATCATGATTTAGAAAAGAAAATTTTTCTACTTCCAAAGGTATCCTCTTGACATATGGCAATAGCTAAAATTAAAGATCAAAGGAATGTATTAGACTTTGGCTAGACATAGCGATGCACACCTATAATCCTAGTTGGGTTACACAGCTGTTTACAAAAGAAATATTAAAACACACACACACACACACACACACACAATCTCTATCCACACTGAATTACTATATAACAATGTATTAAAATTTTTCAAAATATTGTAAAACATATTCCATCATATTGGTGTCATTTGGAGTTTTGCATCATTGAAAACATTTTTACTTTTATCATTTTAAAAGATACTTTATAATGTATATATTAATATTTGTATATAAATAATATACACATGGGAATATGTGCTCAGGCTTTTTTTTTTTTTTTGAACTTGGAATGGAACTCAGGAACTCATGCCTGCCAGGCAGCAGGCGCTGTGCCACTGAGCTGTATCCTGGCCCAAGGCTTTTAAAACATACTGTAAAGTACAGTTATAGAACCGTGGAGACTCCTTGTGTTAGGTATTGTTTACACATTTGAGTTTGGGTTCAAATATAAAACCTGTTTGCCTTCTTGATCCTAGTATCGTTATCAGTTTTAACACTGCCTGATCTGCAGCTTCTTGCCATTTCTATAGTTTCCCCTCTAGTCCAGGCTCTTATCTACTGTAACTCAGATCAAATTC